GTTTTTTGGTGGCAGGTTGGGTTTGGTTTGGTTTGAAATGTTTTGCCATAACACAACCTCCTTTTCCTCACCCTTTCTGTAATGAGCTCTTTTCATTTTAGTTTACCTTTCACTTCTCCCTAGCTATGAAGATCAGGGTTTTTTTTATTTCAGTGAGCAATTGCTTGAAACAATGGACTTTCTACACACAGGTAATTATGATGATTTCCAGAGATACCAGTACCTCTTAGGCTGCCATAGTAGTGGATACTTCAAAAAACATACAAGTAAACACTAGTCTTCTCTTACCAAGATTTTGTAAAATCTTTTGAAGTAATCATTGTATATTTATCTAATGCATATTTGGGTAATGTCTCCCAAGGTAGGTGAGCTATTCTGTAGCACTGCTGCAATTGTAATAAACTTCTGTTCCAAATAAATCTTGGGAGATGCTTGTAAGTCCAGATAGTGTAACAGCATTTCTGGGTCTGGTTTTAGAAATACTGTTAAGACAAGACAAAATTCTCACATTGACAGACTACTTAGAAGAAATCTCACAAGACTTTGAAATTATTTGCTTTGGGAATCACAGAGGATCCTGGGTTTGATTTTGTTAGAATCAAGGCATTAGTTCAGACTCTGTCCAAGATTGTTTGAAGCTTTGTTTTTTCATTCAGTTCTATTCAGTACCCTTTAATGAAATTCATTAATGAACCTTCTCAGAAGACTTGTTTCTGTAAAAGAGCTGTCCTGCACTGATCCTGAAGCAGCCTAACATACTCTTGCTTCTACTTTGGTGTCTGTCATTAGATGTCTGTATAATTGTGGAACTTGGATATTCAGTGTGCTCTAACTTTGTTTCAAAGGAACAATGCAGAATTTGGAGAACAGGTACCTGACAGGATCAGAGGTGGCATGGTGGGTCAGCAGGTCAGTCTTGTAGCAGAACTCAGCCAGGATATTGCTACATAAACGTGTGTTTATTGGAATTAAAGGAAAATGCTTTATTACCCAGAATGGCAGAATACTTGAGGCACCAACTGCGTGTGTGCTGGCAGAAATGATGCTATAGTGGTTTTTATTTGGGGCTTCTGAGCAGACTGTCAGGCTAGATGACCTCCTCAGGTCCCTGTCAAGCTGAATTGTGCTGTGATCCTGTGACTCTGTATGTGCACCTACATATGTGTATAAACACACAAAATAATGGCACATGGGGGGATAAGAGAGGAGGAGAGACTGACTGAACACCATGGCAGGCAGTGTGATTGTGCTGGGCTGGTGAAATGGTGGACTCTGAAGCTGTGCAGAGGCTTGTGTTGTCACGCTCGTGCTGTGCTCTTAGTCATGTTGGCGAGACTGAAGCTGGCATGCGAATGTGCCTGTGCTTGTCATGCTTGTTGCTGCTTTTGTCTGTGGAAACAGGCTTGGGGAGGAGGAGAGCAAGACATTCTCTGCCTGATTTGTCCACTTAGAGGTGTTATCTTTGGAGAGGTGATGATGGAGTCCATATACTGTGTCTTATTCCCATCTGCTGCCCAACAGAGATAGCTTCCCATGGAAACCAATATTTATTTAAAAAAAAAAATCAGTTTTTCATGCAGGAGTCTTTCAAAGCTTCTAAATCTTTTTCCTGTTCCACGAAAGATCTGTGAAAGAACAAGGAATAACACTTGGTGGTTTTGCTCAGGAGTATTAATAGTGCTAGAAATCTTAATTTTTACCATATTAGAAGCTTAGATGGCAGATGTGTTGCAAAAATTTACTGGTATGTATTGGGAGTGTGTATGTACACACATACACACTTTTGTTTATGTAAAATGTATCTCCATTCTTTTCTATACCTTTGTTTACAAAGTAGTCTTTTAAAGTTTTGTTTTGTTCTTATTAGTTGTAGAGAAACATTCCTGTAGAACAATAGGCTGAAAGACAAGGAAATTCAGAAAGGTAAAAGTAAATCTGTTTCAAAACGCAGTCTTTGTTCTAAGGCCATGTTTTAAATTATGTAGTGTTAAAAGTTTGAAGTCTGTCCAAAGGACATTATCTCAATATTAGCTGTAGTTGGTCAGAAATATTTGTCCTTATCCTGGAGTGTCCTACAGTCCCTTTTCAGCCTCGGTGAGCAACAGAAGCTGTAAAGCTGACTTTGATGCTGTGAAAGGATTTTCTGAGAATAGAAAGATGTGACTGTTTCCTCGAGTACTCCCGCACAGTTTGTTCTCCTCTGATGCCCCTCTGTTCCACCTCTCCCTCCCAGGGATGTACATGGAGTTCTGTGGTGTTGGGAAGTCCAGCCGTGACTGATCTCTCCCTGTACTCCAGCACTCAGGCATAATGGCATTAGGAGTTGTTGGAAGTTAAAATAGCCTTTAAAGCTCTGATTCACCTGAAGTAGCTTGGGGGGGAGAGTTTGTAGGCCTGGTTTGCTCTGTTGATGACGTTAAGTGGATGTATAGGATGGAGTGATGTGCTTTTTCCACAGAGGAGGGCAGAGGAATTTTCTGCTTAAGGTTTCTCCCCAAGCAAAATCCAAGTGTTGCCCTTTGAGTTTATCAAACATTTGTGAAGGACTGGATTAGCAGACTATGTCTGTGATTAAATTGCTTTTCTTTTATCTGACTGGAAGTGTTTAACAGGTTTAATCTCAAATCAGCAGTGCCTGTTAGTTAGCATGAATGACTCCTGGCATCCCAGCTTCCAAGTGTGTCCTAAAATGAAGGTAGTTTTTGTGAATATGAGTATTTTAAGGTCAATAAAAAGTTTTGCCAATCATCTCTGTTAGCTGTTGTTTCTTGAAGGTGTGTTCTTATTGCAACTAATGCAGTTCAGGAACATTTCAGATTCCTGGCTAAAGGACAGTTTGGCAGCAGGGGAAGGCCGGGTAAGAGTTGCTGCTGCTTTTGCCACACTTGTCCATACAACAGTTTTTTGAAACACACCTGGCAATGGCATTTTAGTCCTAACGAGGGTGGCAGGACCTGGTGCAGTAGTGTATGGCTGTCTTTGAGCAGTCTGAAGATTTACTGGTGTGTTGGCATCTTTTTAACAAAAAGCTTTATGAGCACTTGAAACCTTCAGTCAATTTCTTTCCCAGTATAATAATATTAGTTCTCCCAGGTTTCAGACCGAATAGTTTTCATTGTCTCTTTTTTTCATTTGTATTGATTATGTACTTGTTCATTTTTTAGGTCTTTCACTGGCTCTATCAACACAAGCAAACACAAGTATTTTGCTTAACTCTATCTTGGAATTGTTTGTTTGTTTGTTTGTTTTTAGTGGAGCAGATTAGCAATGAGCTCATTATAGACAAAGGGGAAATTCCTCCTTCTCCTTGTTGTAATGTGCTGCTCAGGAGCAGCAGTGTGTCTTGTCTGTTTGCAAAATCTAAAAATCTAAACTCCACAGATCAGCATGAATCTGCTGTGCTACTTCATGTTCCCTCCTCTTGTGATAGCAGAAATGACAGCTTGGTATGAGCAGTGAACTGATTCAGCTGAAAATAAACCTGACAAATCATATGGTTGACTCTTAGCTGAATCTATTTCCTGGTTCATTTCACCATATTGTGGAATAAATTCTTGTTCTGGTAGAAGGGAAGAAGCAACAGTAAGAGCCCAGATATAAGAAAATGAGACTGTCCATTTTGGACTAGGTTAAAGTAATAAGCTGGAGGTTTTTTGTCCAGTAAATATTTTCTCACGGATTTGCAAGAACACTGGTGTAAAGTTATTTTCTGGAGTTTCCTGTTGATACTTGAGTATTTGGTTATGTAGGGTAATCTGTGCTTTGGGTTCAATGTCTCTCTGCCCTTGCCAGCAGCTCTTTTGCTGGTTCTGAGTTTTGGAGTGTGGGAAAGATGTAAAGCAAAGCATCTCGTTCATATTTTCAAAACTTTGAATTAGAGGGGTTTTTTTGGCAAATATTTCTTGATCAAATACTGATTTGTGCAGTAAGTTGCCCAGGTCTGACAGCAGTAATCTGTTTAATTCTGTTGCTCTGCAAAGCATGGGCTGTTCTCTTGGCACATCTGTCTTACCTCTTCAAACACTTTTTTGTAAACTTTTGTACTATGGCCTGAAGTTCTGTGTTGTTAGACTGTGGAGCATGTCATCCATATCCTTCAGAAGTCACTGCTCTGATTTTTGAATTCTTCTCTAAGCAGACACGTGACTTGCTTTATCTTGAAGGGAAAATAAGAATTTGCTTCCTTTTTATTTCCCTCCTGACTACCTGAGTGGAGCTGAGAAATTTAAAATATTTGTATAATAATCAGTTTGATGATCTGAAGCATAGTTATCAGCAGAGATTCCAAGCCATGTGTCCTCAGCAGTGCTTTGCTACCTGGTGCTCTGCTCCCCTTTTTAAGGCATGCTTGATGATACCAGACAGTTCTGATCAGTCCCCCAGGTTCAGTACTCCACACCAGTCTTCTTATTACTTCGTTGAACATCTCTGTCTCTTGGCTCAGCCTTCTGTCAGCACTCTTAACTGCCTGGAAGACACATGGACTTACCTGATCTCAGAATCTGGTCGTACTGTGCTCTCCCAGCTCGTCCCTCGCTGTACTACGTGATGTGGAGCTGTGTCTGCCCTGGGCTGTTGGCCAGGTGGAAGCCCATCCCAGCCCTTTCTGCCTGGGTGGTGATGTTAGTGCTTCTGAGCCAGTAATTGCATTCCCCAAGCCTTCTGAATTACTGCACAGACAGGATTACTGCTAAGAACAGCTCTATTCTTTCAGTTTAAAGGGTTGTTATGTGAGGAAGTGAAATGAGGTTTGTACCTGACTCCCTCCCTGGTGAGGCTCATTTACCTTTGACAGAATTGCATAATGTATGTTCTGTAACTAATAGCTGAATTAGAAGTTAGTGTGCAGGAAATAAATTTATCTGATGCAACCCTTCTGGCGATGACAAATCTGGATGATGTGCTTCTTGGGGCTAATGAGGGCTAAGAACTTGGAAGTAAATTAAGTAACTTGTGTATCTTTTTTTTCCCCCTTCTTTTTTTTTTTCCCCTCTTTCTAGAACCATAGAGCAGACCCAGAAGAACTGTTCACAAAACTGGAACGCATTGGGAAAGGCTCCTTTGGTGAGGTCTTCAAAGGAATTGATAATCGGACACAGCAAGTGGTTGCTATAAAAATCATAGACCTTGAGGAAGCAGAAGATGAAATAGAAGATATCCAGCAGGAGATAACTGTTCTAAGTCAGTGTGATAGTCCTTATGTAACAAAATACTATGGATCATATTTAAAGGTAATGTATAGTATTGCACAAAGGTTTGCTAGAATGCCACTAGGAAAAACATCTAAAATTGAGGAAGTTTTATCATGCCAACTTGACTTTGTTTAGTAGGTTTTTATTTTTCTTTGAACAGATCTTTCCACTTAATTTTCCTCTTTTTGCTGCTTTCTCTTTGTGTCTGGGATTTGCACAAAATGGCTAGAGAGTGACAGAGTTGATAAAAATTCCTATTGCTGTTGCTTTTGGGCATCATTTTTCTCTCCTCCCTCCACAATGCCTCGCAAGATTTTGTGGCCTTTCTGGGCAAAAAAACCCCAAAAAAACCCCCAACAAAAAACCTTCATAGCTATGGAAACAAAAAACGTTCCTGATGTGAGAAGAAACTGCACCATGTAGAGATGTGTTGGTAATTATACAGTTTAGTAGGCCTGAGACAAAGTAAAACTGACATCAGCAGAGTTACATAACCACTGTGAAACGTCTTCTTAAGGCATAATTTAAAAACAAGCAAACAAAAATGAAAATCTGCAGAAATCCAAAATCTTGAATATGTCTTTTCAGCTCACAAAGCTGTCCAGGTACAGTCACCTTCAGTAGTGCTTCAATGTTTTGCACTGCAGACATGCTTCAGATGATTTTAAAAAAACTCTAAAAGCTAAAATGTTAATCAGAGTTAGAACTGTCTTGAATGTCTGGGGAAAATTATTTACTTGCATTTGGGATTTTGGATTTTGTTTGTTTTCAATTTGCTTCAGTTTGAGGTTGTTTATTTTCTTTTTTTGTTGGTTTTGGGGGGGTTTGTGAGGGTGGTTTTGTTTTTTGGTGTTTGGTCCCCTCTAGTGTTTCTGTTTCCTAAGGTTTAGTGGGGTTTTTTGACATAGTTCTACAACCAGATCTCTGATAAACATTCCTTGTGTCACACTTGTGCTGTATCTTTGAATGATACTGTAAAAGTATTTCTAGAATTTATTTAGTAGTGTTTTTCGTTGATTTGACTTTCTTCTTCTTTAAACTGCCAATGTATTCAAGGTTTAATATTATAATGCTAGGTGAGTAAGTTATTTTTCTATACTCCAAAGACTAAATTCTCATTTTGACCAATATAAGACAGCAGGAGTGTCTTTGCTGTTTACTGTGGATTCTTTGTACCCAAGTAAACATACAAATTGTCACTGATGTCCCATCTTTGCTTCTCTTTACTGGGCTTAATCAGTGGGATTTTTGTTTTGTTTGCTATTAAGTAATAGAGCTCCAAGCCATAGTAGAATTTACTTTCCTGCATCACAGTACATTAGAACAAGATGGTTCTTCTCAAGATAGCTTAGAATTCAGCTAGGAATGTTCCCCTGGAGCAGTGGACAAATGGTACTGCAGATCCAGACATGATCAGTCTGTTTTACAGTCCTTTATTTTCTGTGATGAGCTAAGTCCTCAATAATATCCTTCTGCATATCCATCATTGTAATTTTGTGTTCTTTGCCCTGAAGTACAAACAGGTTAAAGTGAATCTTGGAAAGTGTTTTTGATCAGAAGTGTATTTGCTTAGAAAAATGTTTTGTGAAATTTCAGAATTAAACAGTGATTCCAGCAGCTGTGAATGGGGAAATTAAACCCTGATTTGGTGGGGGGTTGTTTTGTTTCTTACTTGTTTGTTTTGTTGGGTTTTTCATCCTGAGGGTTGGTGGGTGGAAAAAAGCTCTACATGGTTTGAATAGGAAAAGGAAATAACCTTGTCATTATTTACAGCAATATAGGTACTGGAAGTATAGTATAGTTGTTCTCTGAGTGCTATACAACTATCAATTTCTGGTTAGGGGTTTTCATGTTTTAAAAATTCCTGGCAAATACAGGATCATGTTGGTGCTGCAGTACTCTCCTCACCACTGTGTGAGTTCTTCCATTTCTATTCCAAATTGATACATTCTGAAAGGTTAATGCTGATCTCTTGTTTGCTTTTCACGCTTGTAATGTTTTGAGGGAAAGAAAATTTCTGTGCATGGAGCCTGGGGAGGTGTTTGTGGAATTTTGGTTACTTGCCCATTCCTTTAAGAAATTCCTCTTTTTTAAAAAAATACCCACCAAAACTTAAAGTGGTTCACAGGAATGTTTTTCATCCCAGACTAGCATGAATAGTTAGTTCTGCTTGCTGTTCCCCAAGTAAATGAATAAAAATGTCCACAAATAAATGAGTACTTTTAATTCCGTAATTAAAAGCAAGTGAAATGACTGTTTAAGTAGTATATTTTCTCTAAATTTTTCTGAGGTTAGATTTATCCTTGGTTGCTAATACAAGATCTTTCAGCTTGAGACTCCTCAGGGGAAAAAGTGTACTAGGTTTGTTAAATGTGCAAAGAATCTTCAATGGTGCATTTTCACTTTAGTAGTAACAGGTATTTTGAGACTTATATCTACCTTTTTTTTTTTTTACATAATTGCTATAGCTTTTAACTTTTTATTAGCTATTTCTTTTGAGAGTGGCTGTCAGCTGAACTATTTAGCTGTGCAGTACTTCATTCAGGATTTAATTTCTCTAGATACTGTAGGTATCTCTTTGTAACAGTGAAATAGGTACAGTTGTGTATCAAAGTACTGTATAATTAAAATTAAGAGAACATCGAGGTTAAATTCTGAAAATTCAGACATCATCTTTGTTACAAAGCACAGTCCTAGGCTGTAGAGATCAGTAGTAGCTTGCCATGGATATGAATGGTGTGACGATCATGTTCAGCGTTGTGCAGCAGGTTTGTTTATATGTAAAGATCACTGGAAAATTCCTAAAAATACCTTTAAAGGTAATGGCTGAATGTAACATAAGCGTGCAGTAAGTAGAAGGTATTTTGAAATTTCAACAGACTTTTCTTTTTTCCTTTGCATCTTTATTTGCAGGGAAGCAAACAGTTGAGCCAGTCTGCTGTCTTTCAGGTCGTGCTTATGGACTAGAAATAGTTCACTAAAATGTGTTAATCATACATCTGGTTCTCTCTGAAGCTCTAGGAATGCCATTAGAAATGGGAGTTTTGCACTGATTAAATCAACAAGGCAATATTTTCCTGACTAAATACCAAAGCAAGCACTAAGTGCAAAGGCATTCAAGTTGCCTACAACAGCAATTAATACTTCTGAGTTCAGTAATCTAGATCTAGTTTAAATCTTTAAATCTGATAGCTTTTACTTTGAAGAAACTGCAGCTGAGACCGTGCATTGGCTTCAGGTTTTTCATGTGTGCCTCAGCTCATTCAGTTGAACTGCAATGGAACATCTTCTGTTGTAACTTATTCTGTTTTTTTCAACCAATTTTAAGTAAGCTTTGAGTAAGCAGATCGTTCTTGTCATCAGTTTGTAGTTAGTTAGAGTTTTCCCTCCGGCAAGATAACATGTTTGATAGTTATAAGTTGTTTGTGACTAAAACACGAAAGAAGATATGTTAAATGTGAGTGGGTTCTGATTGCAAGCATTTCAGATGAGAGGTTTTATTTTTGTACAGTCTGTTCTATACATTCTGTAGCTTGACAGTTTCCTCACACTTCAGGAAGCAAAGCCAGCCTTGTGGCTGATGGGGATGGAGTGGCCCAGTCCCAGGGAGCCTGAGGCTTACCAGCTGCCTGCAGGCTCCTGCAGGTGCCCCTGCTGCTGCAAGGCAGAAGGGAAGAGTGTCTTTATTTCAATTACTTGACTTACTAATTTGTAACTTAGTCAGCTCAGCTGGTGCCGTGTAAGTTACTCTTACATTCTGCAGCTTAGCTGCTCATTAGCTACAGCCTGTACATCTGACTTGTAGATGAGATTTCAGAAAGTATGGACAGTCCCTTAATATTTTTTTCCTAGCAGTGCAATGTTATTTGTCTGTTACCAGGTGTTTAAGTCTTTAAAAACCTTATAATGGTTACAGGATGGAAAGGTCTGCTTCCTTGAGGTTCTTGGGATAAAGTTGATGCCAGTTTTCAGTTATTGTGACACAAAAAGCTCCAAAACTCCTATGTCTTTGTAATGTGGCTTATCTGTATGTCTTGAATTTTGAAGTTCAAATGTGAGTTTCTCATTGAATTAACCTTAAAGCCTATGTAGTAGTGCTTGTTTTCCTAAATTTTCATTGGGCATCTGACAAGGTCATTAGTTTTTTCTAAACATACTGGTAGGTGATGTGCAAGTATATATATAGTCAAAGAATGCACCTTAATGAACACCTTTGTGTATGATAATAAAATGTTTCACCTTTGTGTCATGCCTTCCACACATGCATGTAGAATCATACAAGCTTACAGCTGTATAAGTGCAACTTTTGTGGCTGTAAGGTAGCTTAAATCCTGATGTAGGTGTCTGTAGATGTTCATATTTGTAGAGGGTCAGGATCTAAATTAGTCTCCTCATCCTTTATTGCACTTCGGTTGCAATTAACATCACATCTCAATAAATAAAACATTGCTTGAAAGTGATAGTGCATAGGAGTGTAAGTGCTGCAGGTTAGATAGCTAAAATTAGTGTTTTCCTCAAGCCTAATGATTTGTCAAAATGTGTTACTACCTTACCAGTTCAGGCAAGAAAAGGATTAAAGGTATTAAGCGTTACCCTAGTTTTGGCATATTCTGGTTACACAAATTTGTGAAGCTTGATAAAGTGCTTCAGCTGTACTTTCCATCTGGTCCCATAGAGGTAGGTCTTCTCTTGATGACTGAAATTCCATGATTGTTTTCCTTATTTGTGTCATTTAGATCAGAGTTTTCAGTGTCTATCCTTGTAGCTGTTACATCCACCTGGGCTTGCTATTTACTTTTACAGTTAAAACAAGCTTGAAGTTCTTGTCAGTTTTTCATATTTGAATATGGAGAAATTCTATAGTAGCGTCCAAAGACTTAAGTCAGAATTGTACAGCTCTTTGTCCAGCAAAGCTTTGAGACAATCTAAAGGTCCTGCTTGTTCTACACTGTCTGTTTATACTTGGATGACCGAAAATAGCCAAGGAAAAAGCTTGTTCATGCCTGGCTAGAAAATACCCACACCCTGTTACAGTGGATAGTAGCAATTTCTGTGAGACATTATTTGAGAAACACACTACTTACTCATTTTCACCCTGCACTGTTTTCAAGTAGTAGTCAAATCCTCCAAACATGTCTGGTAACCACAATGTTTGCCTTGAACAGGAGTTCTTTGCAGGTCTTCTGAGCTGACAAAGTTGGGCTTTATAGAAACTGCTAAAATTAGCCAGCCCTTCCCTGCTGAGATCATAATATTGGAATAGACCTCATAAATGGTGTGTTTTTTGTATCCAGTATAAATCTAATAGAGCACACTTTGTTAGTATAATTGGATGTGGTGATTTCAGCAACTGCACCTTTATTTGCTTGCCGAGTTTTCTTTAGATTTCCATCACTAGACAGGCCATAGTGTGGGAAAGTATACAATGGAGAATGCAAGAGGTTTAAAAGAGTGTTCCTGCCCTAAGTTTGTGCTCTGTTATAAGGAACTAGCACCAGTAAATATTTGCTGGAGACTTACATGGTGTGTGTGGTACTTGACCACTTCTGGTTCAGTTGACTATTTTTAATAACTAGTTTATATTTGAAATAAAGAAATGTTTTTAGTCACAGAATTTCCTGGAGTTGTAGCCCATAGGTTCACATTGAGTTTCTTCTGAGATGTGAGGGGACTCTGGCAGGCAAATAGCAGAAGGTCCCAGTTTTGAAATATACAATCTGTAGATTTGATACTAAATCTTTCTGGTTTTGCTTATATGAACCAGCCACCTTGTGCAGTAACGCCAAGGGCAAAGTCAGCATGTAGAAATCAGTGTTAGAAGAATTTGTCCTTTCTAGTAGTTGAGATATTTCCAGAGGGAAAGCAGAGAAACATATTCTCAGGGGCCAAGGATCAAATAGTGTATAGCAAAGGAGCACCTGGACTCTGCAGTGTTGCTAGAAATAATAATTCCTAAGATAAATACCCTAAGTCATACAATTGTTTTTGAACTGTATTGTTCTTATCTTTGAGCTTTCAATGGATGAGTTTGAACCTCTGGTGTGAAAACTTGGGAAACCAGAACGTTTTTGTAGGGTTCAGGTCTGGTGGTGCTATTTCTCGTGGCTGGGGTTGTAGTGCTGCTTTGTACCTCAAAATCAGAGGTGCCCTGTGGTAGCAGGTGTGTTTTGTGGCAGGGTGCAAGTCCTCAGGTACAGCATATTCAAAGACTGTCAGTTCTCACTTTTTGCTGGATCTGAAAATGCAAATTGGAGCTCGAGGACCTGTTAGATACACTCTTGAGCAGGTCCCACGTAGGCAAAGAGGCACCTAGCAGCTGCCTTCATTAGGCTTTCAATTTCTGTTGTCTTTAAAGCATATTTACACCGATTCTCTTGCTCAAAAGTGATTAAGTTCTGAGTATTTTTCTCACACCAGAGGTATGGTGGTGTTGCAATAAAGTCTTCTATTAAAATTGTAATGTTTCTGTGTCACAAATGGCTGGAATTGATAATTGCAGTAAAAGTCATTGAATGCCAAGACAGTCATTTGTAGAAAGGTTGTAGAACTACAACCTTACATTCAAATACTTAGTTTAAACTTAAACCACCACCTAATCACTTTTTTCTCTTAAGTTCCATTCCTTTAGGTGAAATCATTTTAGACAATAGTTAGGATAAATTGATTAGTGGTGATAGGGGGTTTTGTTGCTTTTTTAAATGCAGAAGTCACACTTTAATTAATATTTTAGACTTCACAGGAGCTCTGTGATCATTCTACAAGAAGTAATTACATGTAACTTGGTGCTTAATGGGACTCTGCATTTGCCTTCTAACAGTGTCTACTGAAATATGTATTGTTCTTTTTGGCAGCCTTGGACTTCTAACAGCTCATGCTTTTCTTTATAGGGCACAAAACTATGGATAATAATGGAATACTTGGGTGGAGGATCAGCTTTGGATCTTGTGAGTATATGTTTGGGTTTTTTGCATTATAAGTATTAGTGAACTTTATTTCACTGTGCTTTGATACCACTTTGTAAAAGTCAAGTAGTTGGAGGCAGCTGATATTATATCACTGCTGCTTTTAATGCTCAAAAAAGTGTGAATTTCAGTGGTAGGTCTGTGATAGTGAATTGATGTTGATTTTTTTATTTTTACTGTTTGTTTCTAAGCATTAGGAAGCACCATTTGTTCTCAGTCAAATGTAAGATGCTATTTTTTTCAGTATGAGAAGTACTGTTCTTGCTGTACGTGATGGGCTTTTGGGTTTGGGGTTGTCTGTCTGTCCCTTCTCACCTCCTCCCACTAGAATTCATTACATTTAGGTAAAAAATGTTTCCTTTGGGTTTGGGCCTCAGGAATGAATGAAGCTTGTGTCCACAGATACAGTTCATTTTAACTGGTTAAAAGGTGTTGGGTTTTCCATTTTCAGGTATTTTCAGTTAAGCATGAAAGTGCCTTTTACTTCAGATAGTGTGGCATTCACGGAGGGTGTAGCTTGGGGAGTGCAGAGCACAGTCCACTGTGTGTGGATGTGGTTTCTACAGTTTCAGTACAGCTCTGCCTCGGCTGTAACACTTACAGACCCACCCTTTCCTGTAAGATAATATAGCTCAGCCTGTCTTTGTGTGATTCTGAAGGGAAAATATCATGTTTTCACTATTACAGAGTGGTGATAATTATGTATAGGTCCTGTCTGTGAGAGCTGAAGTATGTGCTCGACTTCACAAATCTGTTTAAACTTCTTTATGAAATTACATCACATCAGCTCAGCTACAGGAATGCAAAAGCACAGTGTAATGTGTGGTAGTTTGTAGCTCTGGAACTGGGTCTTTGAAAGAAAGGAGCTGGGAGATAATCTTTAACACTTTTGAGTATTTGATTGTCTTCTGTGGAGTGTCAGAAGTAATGAAATAGCTTTTAGTAGTGACAATGGAAATCCACTGAACCTTTATAAGAATAAAACATATAAGTTTTGGCTCATTTGCCTCACTTTGGTGTTCTGTTTCACTGCTGTGTTGTTGGTATTGTTTTAATAGCAGAATCACCCACCTTAATTGCTCCTGTTTTATTTACATATCTTTCTAATGTGCAAAGCTTACACTTACTCCATGCTAGCAGCTTTGTAGTAGCACATTATCTTCTTGATGAAAAAGCAAGCATGGAATCAAAAATGCTGGAACAAGTAAAAACTGCATCATTAAATTTAACACCCACAGTCAATAGATTAATCTATTTTGAAATAAACTGGATTTCCTAATTTACTTAATCTAAATTGCAAAATTCAGTCTGCTGTGTTTGT